CAACAACAACAACGCAGATTATCATTTTACATAAAAGTACTCAATCATACAGTGGGAAAAGTACACACATAATAATTTAAATATATACCGTAGTTTTCGGGTCATAAGCCGCTACTTTTTTCCCACACTGTGAACACTGCGGCTTATACTGACGTGCGGCCAAAAACATTTTGCCTGGTAACAGCAGACCAATAAAATTGATAAGTAGTATATATACGGTATATATTTTTACCGGTTGTTAAGAGACGTTGTAATGTTGTTTGTGCACTGTTCCGTAAAAAAACCATAAGCAACGTAATTTGTGTGTTACTGATACATACATACATACTACGCTGTTCGAGGAAAAGCATTTGCAGTATGTATTTTTGTATGTTACCATAACGTTTATGTTGCCATGTTTATGTTACCTTACGGATTAAATTAAACGTTAAAAATCCTCACGTGTAAATTTCTGTGTAAATATCTCATATTACGAGTGAAACGCATACGGCTTAAAATCCAGTGCGGCCTGTACAAGTACAAAATTGATTTTCTTTCTAAAATTAGAGCATGCGGCTTTTAATCAGGTGCGCTCTGTAGTCCGGAAATTACGGTAATTTATTGTAAAAAAAAAAATATTGCTTGAGAGAGATGGAAAGTCAGTTTTCATAGCATACCAAAGAGAGGCAGATGGGGAGAGAGGCTGTTGTTAATAGGCAGGTATATAACGACATTTCAGTATTTGTTTCGGTGGAAACATGTTTGGTAGAGACAACAAGCAAAAGTCTCTTCAGATTTTCTTTTTTAAAGCTTCAGAACAGCCTCTGGGTCAAGATTGGATATTAACACAAATGAATGAACAAGACTGGTTTAAAGCAGTATTGTATTTGCAGGTTTTTACGTGCTGGATTTGTGATAATTAGACCTTTTCTTCTGGCCACTGTGATAGTTTCACTAGTTACATTTTCAGGTCACTCGAAGGTAGGGCTGCTCGATTATGGCAAAAATGATAATCACGATTATTTTCACTGAAATTGAGATCTCGATTATTTGACGATATTTATTTAACAATAACAATGTATTGAATAATTACTTTAAAGATTGTCAAAAAATAATATAAAATAGTGTGCAAATACTGATGACAGTGCAAATGTTGCAATATAAAAAATAAATGAGAAATGTAAACATCTATGTTTAGTGAACTTTGCAGTGTTGCTCTGTGGTGCAGCTACGACACTGTAGCAAAGTGTACACACTATGTCTACTTGTTCCACGTCTGACTCCGCGAACCCATAATGTTTCCACACCACTGAAGTTTTTTTTACCTCTCTTTTCAACCAACGGTAGTCACTCTCCTCTCCAAATAACTTCTGCTTAGCTTTCCGAGCTTCCCTTGGGTCCTCTTAATTGTTGTGACACGTGTTCAAAATGCAGAGAGGTGCGCTCGATTTGCCACACGGAGCAGCGCGAGAGTAAAGCACGAGGGAGGTGCTAATAATCGGCTCAGTCATTTTTAATGATCGTTGAAAGCCCAGATCATAATCTTGATTAAAATTCGATTAATTGAGCAGCCCTACTCGAAGGTTCGTCTCATTTACTTGAGCCCTACCAATTTCTATATTTCTATAGTCGCAGCTCACAGTGTAGTCACACAAAGAAGGGAAGACTGAAAAGTTTGGTCACAGAGATCCTATGATATGGATTTTATGATTTAAAAAAATGAAGTGACAAAAGATGTCACTATCATATCAATCTATCTATATTCTTATAAAACCCTGTTTATAGGCGTAAGCACGATTTGTATAGCACCAGCATAAAATCTTTTATGTAAAATCCATAAATATAGTTTTGAAAAGCACTTTTAATCAGTGCAATTCTTTCATTACTACCTTTTGGGTAAAATGCTTAGGCTGTTAAAAACAGGGCTTAATGAAGAAAAAGGAAGCATGCTGACCTAGAAAACTAGGAATATATGCACATGAAAACCCAAGAAAGAGAAGAGAAGAAGGTTAAAAAAAAAGTATCTACAGAGGCCATTCTTCAAAAAGTGACATTGAGAAATGGACCTGGGGAGGTGGGACCACTATTCTAAAATAAAATCACCATCTTCAGCAGCATGGTGCTGCAGGGATACCTGTTCTGGGTCAGGGTGTGTGTGTGTGTGTGCGCGCGCGCACGCACGTCCGCTCATGTGTTTTTTGAGTCTGTGTGTGAACAGATTGCGGTGTGTGCGCTGCATGTTGTTAGCTCTGTTGGCAGTTCTGATGAAGCTGTCATGAGGTTTAGTCACATCTTTCATAAGACTTGCACACACACACCAGAGAGCAGGGGAGTAATAGTCTGTTAATTAGCCTGTTGCTCCCCTGCATGTGTGTAGGCGTTGCTAAGCAGAGCACGCTCCCCGTCGCTGTAGTTCAAACTGAAGAAAAAGAGGTAAACGTGTTTCTTTGAGGCGATTGTTGCAGACACCTGGTGGTTTAATCGGCTACCTGATGCAACACATTGCCTGTTTTTTTTTTTTGCCCACGCTAGATAAGTTACGCATCAGGTAGCTTTTTTTGTAAGATGGACTGTGACTGTAGGTTTTCATTTCCAACGTCCGGAGAGAAAAACAATGGTACAGAGGGGAAAAAACAGCTTACAATACGGGCAGCTTTGGCTAAATCATGAGTCTAACATGCTATGCTGGAAATCAGAGAATCATCACAAAGCTCAAATTAAGATTTTTATTCTCGTTTTATTTTATGTTATTAAACCAATATCAGCTTGCTAGCTTGCCTGGTCAGCATGATGTTATCATATGTCACATCTGTTGACTCTATTCAAGGTTATACACCTATTTAAATGAAACTAGCTGTCACAAAGCTGATGATACATGCAAAAAAGATCATTACTAACCTGTCTGGTTCTTTGTAACTGCAGTTATTTTTTTAATTGTCAAATTCAGGTAGCATCCTATACAGTGGTGTTGAGGCTACTCACCATTACACTATTACAGTACAATTATTCTTTCAAACTGGTGGATCATCCCCTTTTAAAGATGTTAGATGTTCATTTTGCAGCATTAGCAAAGCAATAACAATAAACCACTGGTTACATAAAGTTGCTTGTATATAAATACATGCATTTCCCTCTGTAGCTGAGTAAACTGTAATACAGGGCTTGGATTTTGTTGAAACTAAACCATGATTAAATTATGTTGTAGGATTAAAAGTAAGTAGTTGAAACAAACATTTGTCAGCGAGAGAATGAGCACAATATCTGCAGGAGGAGAAAGTGGGGGGGGGAATGAAATTACATTTCATAACATCAAGTGTGTGTGTGTGTGTGTGTGTGTGTGTGTGTGTGTGTGTGTGTGTGTGTGTGTGTGTGTGTTTGTGAGACCTGATTAAGGACAGTACAGAATGAAGTGTAGGAGGTGATACAGTAACACCAGCTGGTCTACATACTGACACACCAGACTGCCAGATCCGTGTGTGTGTGTGTGTGTGTGTGTCAAAGAGAGAAACAGACTTTGTGCGTGAGCAGACTTGAGATCAGATAACAGACTGGCTTGATGTCAAACTGATTATAAGTTACAATAGCTCATTAGCAAAACCACCTGCATGTTTGTTTTGAATTACGTGTTAGCTGTGGTCCCCGAGCTGCTATAATCTGAACGCATGTTCAGAAAAACCCATCCCTTTTTAGTCAAGAGTGCAGAATCCAAAGATTGGAGACTGATATCAGGGGTTCATGTATCTTCTAATCAGAGATGGGCAGTAACGCGTTACTGTAATCCGATTACTTTTTTCAAGTAACGAGTAAAGTAAGGGATTACTATTGCAAAAACGGTAATTAGATTACCATTACTGTCACGTAGGAACGCTGCGTTACTGCGTTACTAAAACCGTGATTTTTTGCGAGAATGTCTCATGACAGTGGCGTAAGCGAGTGCGACGTTCGTGACAACAGCTGTGTGCAGATCAACAGTGGATAATATATCGAGTGCAGGAGAGAGTATGAGCGTGCAGCGTTTAAAGCGTGGAAGTACTGACCTTACTTTGAGTTTGATTCCATAAAAAGTGACAAAAACATTAGCGTCCGTTGTGCGTGGGAAGAAAACTTCTTTTTACAGCGAAAAAACCCCCTAAACTTCCAAGCAAGCACCGAGTGCGCTACCACGTAATGGGAAACTCACAGAGAAACTCGCGGATTCTTCCACTGACCGCAGCGGCACACCTGCACCAGGGTAAACCTCCGCCTACCCTGCTCCTGCTTTACAGGTGAAAATAGAGCAAAAGGGCTGCTGAGTCTTTGACTTTATTTATTTTCTGCTGTGTTTTACTTGCATCTATTTGAAAGAGTGAGTGTAAACACACACACAAAAAAACAATTATTTTATGTGCTGGAATGTGCAGAAAATGGGTTTAAATATTAAACAAATTTCTTCCAGTCAGAGAATGTTGCATATAATTACATTTTTGCTTGATGCATAAAGTTAAAAGATTAAAACTAATAAAACAAGTTTTAAAAAGGGACTTTTCCATTTGATTACATTTTGTATGATGGATTACGTAGAAAAAGTAGAATTGGGCTGAAAGATCTATCGCTTTATCACCTATTCAGGTTGTAAATTGTGTTTTTAAAAGTAACTAAGTAATTAATTACTTTTGAAAATAAGTAATTAGTAAAGTGACGGGATTACTTTTTGGGGGAAGTAATCAGTAATTAGTTGCTTAGTTAAGGGGCGACCGTGGCTCAGGGGGTTGGGAAGCGTATCTGTAACCGGAAGGTCGCCGGTCCTTGGGCAAGACACTTTACCCTACTGGTGATGGCCAGAGGGGCCGATGGCGCGATATGGCAGCCTCGCCTCTGTCAGTCTGCCCCAGGGCAGCTGTGGCTACAACTGTAGCTGCCTCCACCAGTGTGTGAGAGTGAATGAATAGTGGCATTGTAAAGCGCTTTGGGTGCCTTGAAAAGCGTTATATAAATCCAATCCATTATTATCATTACTTCTTTCAAGTAACTTGACCAACATTGCTCGTAGTAAATAAATAGGAAAAAGGAAAAAGTAACAAAGAAATAACAAACCATATATTTCTGACAATTTATGTTCAAGGTCCTGAAATTAGACATTTAAGAAAAAAAACCCCATCATGGCTTTTTGCTGCTCTAAAATCTTAATTTTGCCCTAAATTTCCAGTTCAAAATGGTTTCTCTGTGAAGTCAAAGCTTTGTTGTGCTGAGATGTGGGTTTCAACTAAACTAACCTTTTTAAACTCAGGATATTCAAGGAGAGATGGCAGGCAGGTCACAGCTTTCAGGCAGTAAACACATGCTGGAAATCTCTTCTGTAATTGGGCTTTCTGGTCGTGGTTCAAGTCTGACTAATAAATTATAAGGTTGTTGAATAAATCCATCTGTGCCAAAGTTAGTCTTTGCATTAGTAAGAAGGCTGATTTGACTTGATAGCATTTACAGCACTTAATAAAAATGTGGACTTTGTTGTGTAATTGCAGCTATTGCTCGACATCCAGCGTTAGTAGAGCTGGCATATCAAAGAATGAGATGAGAAGGCATTGGACAGCGAGAAAGAGGGGAATCAGATTTCCGTCAAGATCTTGTACTGATGATGGAAGAGTTTGTCAGCTGTGTAAAGTCTTCTCCAGAAGGTCTCTAAATTCTAAATGTGTTGATGGACATGATGTCTGGTATGACATGCCCCGAACACCTCTCCCAGGAGGCATCCTAATCAGATGCCCAAACCACCTCAGCTTTCTTTTTTCGATGTGGAAGATCAGCAGCCCTCCAAAATTTCCACTGATGGAAAAAACCTGGGTGTATTGAATGACCAGCTTTTTCCTGAATGAAAAAGCAGGGAAGCAAAAATCCATTGATGGAAAAACCTGCTCATTCAGTATATTCAAGATGTCAGCTGACCTCATTTTTTGGGCACATAACATTACAAAAGCTTGACCTCACCAACTGAAGCTAACCCAGAAACAAAACACTGCTCTCGCAGGCTTGTAGGCTGGGCAGTAGGAATGATGGGTGCCTCAGGCCACATTAAGTTTTCCCTTTGCCACTGACTCCTATCTTTATGCTCCTTATCAAAGTGAAGCTGTTTTTCGGATTAGCCTCCCTGATAAGCGGTTTTCTGAAGGCTACACGGCTGTTTGGTACCAATCTCTTCACATTGTGTGTGGAAATGCTTCTACTTTCACTATTAAACATAGGAATAAATTCTACTGCTGATTATTTACAATTTATTTTATATCTTATTAGTATTGATATATTATTTACGATTATATATCTCCGATCATGATCATTCAGATCATCGAATGATCTGAAAGATGGTTGTTCACTGCTATCCTTCCAGGTTTTAATAATATATTGGACAGTCCCAATTTTCGAAGTTACAGCAATCTCAATCGTTGTTTACTTTGCTTAATCTAGACCGATTATTTCTAAAACAGAGTAACATGTCGTGTGCAACCACAGGAAACGTCTTCCGTATCAACTTCATCAGTAAGGGTTAAATAACAAGGTGCCAGCTGAAACTTTAAATAATCACATATTCAGTGTAAGGCTTTTACCTAATTTAGTTACATCCAGGTGTGACTTTTTTTGCCTGATACATCTTTGGATTTAATAATTTTCACACATATCTAAACCATGTAATGTCTCACTTATTTACAAAATTGGAAATAAGCTGTCATGGCTTCATCAAAGATGAGGATTTCCTGGTGTTTTTACATTATAAATGACCAGAGTGCCATAAGAGGGCAATTTAGGAATTTAGGAAGTCTTGGTTAAATTAAAAGAAGGACCAGAATGAAATGTCTTTGTAACTTTTTAGGCCGGCACGTGTTTTCAGAACCACTCCAGTGTGTTTTTGTATTGATTCTACATGTCTCCCTTGTTTGGTGGGAGATGATGGTGATAAGAGTTTTTTTTTCTTGTCCTTTCGAAACAACAGCTGACAAAACAGTCTAAGCACCAGGTCCCTTTGGTCCCTGTTCAAAGTTCCTCCAATCTTTTTAAGCTGATGTGAATTCATTCATCGTTAGATAAATTGAGTAGTTCCCGTGTGGCTACTGAACTATTCTTGTTTTACCAAGTATCATTTTAATGAATTAACAAATTTCATATTTTAATTTTAAAGTCTGAACCAAACCAGATCTAATCCTTGAGTGTAACATAGCCTAAACAGCCCCTTGGAGGAGGTAATGATGGAGAATTAATCGTTCTTTTATATTCCTCAGCAGGATTGATCCCTCTAGTCACAGGTCCCTCTCTCGAACCTTAAAGAGTCCACTACGCTCAAAAATTAAAGTTCATAGACATGCTGCATAACCGTGTCTAAAGGCAAAAGTGTAAATTGCCGCAATTAAAAGAAGTGCAATCACAGCCTCTTCATGGCTATGTCTAACTGCTCTGATTTCACCCCAGGATTCTGATTTGAAGTGTGGTTATTCTTGAGCCAAACTTGAGATCTTTAGTTTAGTTTTTCTTTTTTATGTTTTGGTTTTTCTTGCACTATGATGTTTCAAATATATGCAAAGGCTTTTGGGCACATCATGTGTTTCAACATATTTTTTTAAACTAAATTCTTTGTGACATGTCTAACAGCACAGTTCTTGTGTCAAATTTAATTTTAGCTAAGTCTTTAGCTTTTTTTTTTTAGATCATCTCATCCACTTATGGGTGATGATAATGAAAGGATATGCATTGCAATATCTTTTCATGTCATGTATCTGTGGCAACTTTGTACAAACAAAGGAAAGGTTTAGCCAGTTTATCAGTGTTTGGCTCAATAATAAAAAGCCATTTCCAAGTTGAATCTATTTGTTGTTAGTTGACCATAGTCTACCAATAGCATCATCAGGTCTCTGAAATTGCCCAAACCAAGTTTGTTGTTCAAATAAATGTTTATATTAATGTGCCAATCAAGTCACAGAAACCTTTACGGTTTGCTAGGTTGTTAACGTCAGGGCTACTTTACGACCAATGTAGCCAACCATTTTGCAGCAGCATGACACCACACCACACCAATTAGAATAGAATAAAAAGCCTTTATTTTGTCAACGTACATGTGGACAAACAAAAATAATGTCATAGTCTTTAGCAATATTTTACAATGTCCTGAGTGGTGAGAGTGCAGATCTAGAGTTCAGTACTTTGATGTCATTGTGATAGAAGCTTTTCTGTAATGTGAAGGTGTGGAGTGCCAGGTTCCTGTTGGAGCACCTTTATGACAGTTTACAGTCTTTATCCCTGTAGGCAGACTCATCTCCTTTGTGTATTAATCTTGTGGTGTCAACTGAAAACACAATGACTAAGTTGATTTTGTCGGTTGGTTGGCTGCGATTAGAGAAGTGGGCCTAGGGTGCATCCCTGAGGAGCACCTGTGCTATATGTCAGAGTAGGGAAGTGATGGGTCCCCAGTCTAGCAGACTGTGGTCAGATTTGTTAAGAAGTCACTGTTGCAACCTCTGGTGGGCCTGTGGCTTCTGAAGAAGATTCTGTCTGCTGTGATCTTCGTCTCATGCTAATTAGCTTTTGTTGCAACATGATGTCTGCTTCTCAGATATGTTGACTGGTTCTTAAAAGGAACCAAAATAGAACTGACTTTGCTCCAACTCTGAATAACAGGTAAATGGGAGACACTGATTACACTGAAAGTTTAGGTACTGCAGGCTGTGCTGATTACATCAGTAAAGCAGATAAGTGGATATCTCTACATGGCTAGCAATCATATGCATATGAGCCTGCATATGCACCTGCCTCATAAGCCATTTTCACACAAGACCTTTTGGCAGTCTCAGGGCTGGACATTTTTTCACACATTTTCCTTTCTGTAATATAACTCAGAGTAGGAAACGGTTCACTTCAGGCACACTCCCACTACTGGAAATACTCCATGTGGCTTAGAAAAGGTGAGTTTTCAGAATAGAGCACGCAGGAACTACACATGATGCACATATGCGAGCAGTAAATGGAGGAAATTATTTGTTGCACCATTCTCAGATGACATCACACAGATTTGCTACTAGGTCAACTGAAACTAAACTAAAACTAGGGTAAAGAAACATTTAAATTAACCAAAATAAAATAAAATAAAATAGACTTTTGAAAATAGCTACTCCAGAACATATTGTGTACTCGCAAAATAAATGAAGTAAAAAACCATCTCGCTTATGTGATCTACCTTTAAAAAATGCTGTGATTATTTTAAGACCCATTCTGAGCTTTTGAAAAATTTGTCTCTATCAAATGTCCTAATGAAGCTGACAGAAGAAGAAGAAAGACTAGCTAACGTCTGATTAGACTTCAACAGGCATTTTCTTTCTTGAATCCACCTCGGTTGGTTGACGCACACAAGAGTTTTGACTTTCAGCATGTGTATAAAAACGGTGATAGAGCAGTGTTTATGCAAAAAAAAAATCAGTGTGGATATAGACGTCAAATGCATGCAGTTATCTTCTTTGTTGACTCTGGGACTCTAATCTTTTAACAGCTATAATCTTCCCCTGTTAGCAGAAGCTTGTGATTTCTCTCAATCTTTCTTAAACTTGGTGCTGTTTACTGTGCAACAACGCTGTCTCCAGACTTTGCACTGAACACACATGCATTTAGTGTGAGACTATAATATTGGGTGGATTTAAAAAGGCTGCTTTTCTTCTTCTGTTATGTAAAATGGGTCATGCAGTGTAACATTATGGCATAACAAGGTGGTTAATATATTTATTTATTTATTTATTTATTGTTAAAAGTGTTTAGAATATATCCTCCAGTCTAATTTCCTGCTGATCAAACTACTCGGGAATAAAATAAAAAAAGATTATCTGCCAATCTGCTTTCATGATCGACATAAATACAACGCTTTAAATGGTTCATGACATCAATCCAACGTATATCATTCGATTTTCCAAACACACAAAGGATCTCCGTTTTTCATCTAGCTCCTGGCCAAACAGAATATGAAGATGGAAAACAGCGAGGCACAAATGCCTCTCTCTCTCCTCCCTCTGTTGGTCAATCTGGGTTATGTAAACAGGGAAGTGCAAGCTCGGGTAGATACCGTAACTGTGGTAGTGTGGCAAAGGTGACCGTGTGCGAGCGCGAGCGTACTCGTTTGTTCCCAGGCAGTCCTGGCTTCACGTTCCAGCTGTCACTGCCTGCTCTTTCTCTCCTCCCCCACCTCGCTATTTCCAATTCTGCTGCCCCTCCCCCCCCAGACTTCCTTACAATGTGGGTTAGTATGTGTAACCATGTGACTGGGCTATGACCTTTCACCTTATGTGTGTGTGATCTGTGAAGGGTAATCCCACACGACCCCTTCCCTTTCTTTTCATCACGCTCTTCCACTTTTCTTCTCCTTTAATTACACATCTAGCCATTTTCTATTCCATCTCTTCTTTCTTGTCCTCCACCCTGTCAGGCTTGTGTTTTTCTTCCCCCACCTCCATGGTTCTTACTTCTCTCCATAGTTCGTCTCATCTGCACTGACAGTGTTTGCATTTATGTGTCACTGAAATTTACCATTTGTTGCAGTTGAGGTGTTTACAATGTGTTTATTAGTGTTAATGATGTGCGATGCTGCCCCGAGGAGCCAAAAAAAAAAGAATTTTCCAAACAGAAAGTTGTACCACATGACTTTATTCATCTCCTTGTTTCAGGTTTGCATCTTGCAGCCATAGTTTGACTCCTGAATCACTCTCTCTATCAGTTCATATTGATCATCTCCCCTCTCTGTCCACAATCATAAATCAGGCTGAAATGGATTTGTGATTATATGTTACCGTTTTAGCTTGTCAGATCTGTATTTACACATTTATTACTACTAAACTAGGCGCCAGTCTATCCCAACCAATAAACAAATTCATATTCGATCGTATAAAATGTGTGCTTTTTGGACACTGAGAGAGATCCTCCAATCTAATGTTTCTGACATCAGTTTTGAAGGATTTGATTTTCATTTTCATTGGGGCAAAACAGAATCAGCACAATAAAAACTGCCATAAACTATCAGAGGGATCATTTTACATTCGTTCACTCCTCCTCTTCCCCCTTTCCCGATCTTTCATCCTCTTCTTTTCCTCTCATCTTCTCCTCTCTGTCCATCTCTTCCTTGTTGAACCCCATTACCCTTGTTACCTAAGGCAGCTTTCCTTGAGTGGGTGTGTCCTGCTGACATCACACACTGGCTCCTGTGTCGGTTGGCTGGGGGAGGGGAGAAGCAGAGAGAGGCGGGAGGAGGTAGACCGGAAAAGCTGCGCAGTGGCGTTGCGGGGGTGTTCCTACGTACGGTGGTCAGGGGCAGTTTTCAACGACTCATTGTTTTGTAATTGTCCCGATGGTCTTCTGTCCTCAGTGGAGCGCCGGTAAAGCTGCGCGACGAGGCTAGGTGTTGGGTGACTCACACACACACGCGCGCGCACACACAGACAGACACCTACACACACTTTGACACGCTCGGTTCAGACAGAACAGAGGAAGTGTGTAAACTGTATGAAGAAGGAGCACACACACAGATTGGAGTAAGTTTCTGAGAGTGATAAGGAGGAGGCATGAATCTCTCACCAGACTAGGATACAGAAAGTTGCAGCCACATGACATGGGTGAGTAGCTGAAACCTTTTGACTGACTGGTTCAGTGTGGGATTCCTTCTACCGCTTTCTCTCTCTGGTCTCGTCCCCACACGTGTGTTTTGTTCTGTAATCTCTCAGTCAGCCCAGTAATATCTCCTGCTCTGTCTTTTTATCAGTACGAATGCAGACACATTCTATCATACTGACCTATATGTGGTGCCGTGCCAAGTCTTTAGCTGGGCTGTTGAGGCAGAGCAGAGCTCAGAGGTTTCATAAGGCATGTTATGAAATAGACACAGGGGTTGTCCTTGTTCCTGTTCCTGCCCCCCGAAAAAGTATCTTTGCCTCAAGTTTCAAGGACTTCTGTGTCATTTTATTTATGTAAGACTTTATTTTTGTTTCTGATTCACTTTTTTTTTTCTTGAGGTTGATGTAAAAGTGTCTCGTCCCAAATCAGTTTTTGTAAAGTATAAGTATCTTCCAGTCTTAATAATAGAATAGAATAGAATAGAATTCAACTTTATTGTCATTGCACATGCACAGGTACAGGGCAACGAAATGCAGTTTGCATCCATCCAGAAGTGCTTTAGTGATATAGATATATTACAATATATATTAGCAATAATATAGATATGTAAGTAGGGCTGGGCCATATCATACCGTTCACGGTAATACCGGTATAATTTTGGGCAACGATAGAAAAATGAAATATCGCGATAGAATATGGGTAAAACGCGCATGCGCAGTGCCTTTGTTTTCATACGCACACGTCGGAAAAAGCATGGCGGCGAAAGCAAATCGTTGAATGAAACGCAACTTCAGTGGTGTGGAACTGGTTTAGCTTTCGTCCGTCAGATACACAACAAAGCACTGTTTTTGGTAGAGCATGCTAGCGGGCCGTCGTTATTACCGTGTTTTTTGGAAAATACGGCACACTTAAAATCAATCCTTTGTCAAGCACCCTTGGCCACTGTACTAGTGTATTTCCATTGTGGGGGTGTTTACTGTAGGGGGGAGGAGACCAGAGGTTATAACTGTAACTGTTGTGTGGAGTTCTAGAGATCAGCCTTTAGAATAGGACTGCAGTGTGCTGATCTCCAGATGCATCTGTAAGAATAATGGGTAATAAAAGGATTGTGTAAAACATGGAAACATCTCAGCGTGATCTCTACCAGGACCAAAAGAATCGCAGAGACCGGCGTTGTCTCAACAATTGTCAGCAAGGAATTTGCATTTGCACTGTAAACATTTGCTTGTTTACTCTACTCCATATGAATAGATATGAGTTTGCCACTCAGTGATTTCAACAGTGTTTCCGATCCACAAATAAACTTCTCATATGTTTCAGTGTGCGTTTAAAAATGTGTGGAAGGTAAAACGACACATTTCGAAGGCGTTCTATTACTGAGGTCACTCTTAGTATAACAGTAAACAATCGGTTTTAAGTATTGGACTGTCTTTATAAAATACGTGTGATATAATGTGTAACAGTTTTGAGTTTCTTAGCAGAAACCGCATATGAAGTAATAATGACGGTCTTATAACACATGTAAGGGTTCTGTGTGTACAGTAATGGATGATGTGAGCTTTGATCTTATTTTGAAGGCGTTTCAGAGAGGCATTCCTCTACGCTCTCTATTCTGTCACACAAACACACACTGTGGGGTCACCACGGGGTCGCGACTTTGTCACTTGTCCAGCACTTAAAACAATCTCACGTGGGAGCGGGGAGATGCCTATGAACGGGTGTTGTTTTTGTGTGGAACTGTGTGAAGTTAGTGGTTCACTAAAGTATTTATTTAGTCTTCGGTGGCTTCAGATCTGTTATAAACAGGTGGGATTTCCAAAACTGATTATTTGAATTTATTGACTGAATACTATTAATAGTATTCAGTCAGTGAAGTTAATTTCACTAATTTCCATGTTTCCTTCAGTATACTGCAGCATCAGTAAGCGCTTAGTATATAAATAGGTGTATTTTGATGGTACACATTAAAAATAGAGCGCAATGAAAATAAATATATTATAAATTTGCAGCAGTTTACTTCAGCATTGCTCTTTCACCTTATTTTGAAACACCCTTATTGTGCATTGCCTCGATATTGTTTATGTCCAATCATATCTCTCCATGATGTATTCCTCAGGACCGGGGATGTCAATCATAAGGCCTGGATGCCAGAATCCAATCCAGCCCATTGGATTCTTTTGGAAAATGAAGGAGGGCATATCTTTCCTTTTTAGTGTATTTTAATAAGTTTTGCACCTTATGGGGGATAAAGACCTCCCCACTGACTGTTCATACTATACAAAAAGTAATTAAGTAATAGATAAACAATTAAATAGTTAGTTAGTTGCTGTGCTTTCTATATTGACTTTAGAATTTATTTATTTTTAACAAGGAGTCAAAAAAAATTGACATTTTCTATGAATTAACGGAAACTTTCTGTTTTCTAACTACAGGATCACGTGAGCGACCAGGATACAGGATATTGTTCTGTAAATTTAAACATTTATTTCTTACAATTTAAGCCCAAAGAGTCATGCTGACAGATTTCTGTTATCTACTACAACAGCTTTTTTTTGTCGTGTGGAAAAACTGAGACGCATTGTTGAAATTGCTTTATTTCTTATATTATGATATTTCAGGGGATTAAATGTGTAAACTTCTTTTCACTGACAGAAACTGTTTTTCACCAGTCTGCCCCACTTAGGATCAAACTAAGCTATGAGTTTGTGACCCACAAAGTAAACTGATATAGAATTAGAGATCAGTAAAATTAGACTGATCTCGAGGGATCTGTTTAGTGCAGGAAAGCCAAATGATGCATCAGAACGTCTCCTTTATGTGAGTGCACCTTGGGCCTTGAAGTGCAGTAAAAGTTATAGTGGCCATTATCACTCACTAGGTGTTTAAAGTTTGAGAGTCTGTGAAAGTCACTTTGTTGTAATGCGTGTTAATCCTCTGACGTGTGGTTGTGTGTACATGTATGTGTAATTTGATCTTTGAGGCAACAACTTTTACAAGCCTTGCTGAGATGTTGTAACGCCTTTAATCATCAACGAACACTTAAATGGTTCCTGCTTCTGTGCATGCTTTGTATTCCTGACTCTGTTTATGGGGGAGTGGTTTAATATGACAGTTTTTTTTGGTTTTTTTCTAGCTTTAGTTGAGCGAGGGGAGGAGATTGAAAGGTGATCGGTGGTAGGAGTCCCCCCTCAGCAGGGCCCCAGCTCCAGCATGAAGGGTTATGTAAGTTTTCAGCTGCCAGCCTTCCTAGCTGCCTCTGCCTCACATTCACATTGTTATTGACCAGAAAGGAGCACACAGTGGTGGACCAGTAGTCAGAGAGTCAGTCAGTCACTGAGGTAGTCAATTTAAAGCTCACCTAAGTGTAAAGCCAGGCTAAGAGGAGGGAAGATCCACCTCCTCCTTACTTCTTTTTAAAAGTTTTTTTTCCTTGAAAGGGGAAGCAATTTTGAGAGTGTGACAGGGAGGCAGAGGACACCAGCTTTTCCTCTGTTTCTGATAACCATGCTGCTTCTGGATGAATCGGAATCATTTGCAGGTGGGTGACATAATTCGCCTGAACCGTGTTGAGGTTGTGGAAGCGATTAATCTTTGGAGAGAAAGTTAGAAAGAAATGAGGGGAAAATATGGAGGTGCGTAAATGTTGTATGCGCTATGAATGCTTTAAGAACAGGAAGAAAACGCCACACAGAGAGCTTCAGGCGTACGCTGAAGTTTATCTGATGAGATAACGAACAGTGTTACTTGGCTGCAGAGGCGCTTCCTTTCTGCATCCTGTTTCAGGAGAGGCAGCATGAAGAGAAGCCAGAGAAGAGGTGCACGGAGGGGGGAAATGAGTTAGAAGCTGCAAGATGATGAGAAATGGGGAGCTTTGATGTTATAAAACCAGCTAAGAATTGACTAGAATGTGCAGCAGTTGTTGATTGAGGGTCATTAAGTTACTTAACATTGTTGTGTAACACTGGATCTATACCTCCTTAGGCGTGTGCAGTCTATCTGAGCACACTTTCTATTTACTTTTCTGGTTTCATCTATTTTTCTCTTTTCAGTCACTGTCTACAATCGCTGCTCTCTCTGTTCGATTCGTCCCATTTTTCTTATCTTCCTTCCATCTTTCAGCCGGTCTTTCTCCCACTCGTGTCCGCTGCCTCTCTCTCTGTTGTCATCTCAGTTCCTGCCTCCGATTGGCTGTCTCTACGGTTACCTAAACCAATGCCAGTGCTGTGATTGGTGGACGGGGGTAGGATCGGGCCATGCTGGAAGTGTGAGCATGTGGAGGCAGGAAAACATATGGTTCAGCAGACCAGTGGGTTAGGGGGGTAAACGGCTGTAGCTGGAATGAATGAAAATGAAGGCTCTGAGTTCGTTCACATTTCTTCATCTGTTTATCCAGCAAACACAAGATAATCAGAAACTTCAAATCTTGTGTTAGATCAACTTTAATAGTCTGTTTTCAGTCAGATCAGGATTTTAAGTCTTAAATTTGTCTTAATTTGAAGCTGTCTTCACTGAATTTAGATGTACAGTGCAATGATTTGTGAGTCTTGTTGCACATGCACTCAGTTTAAAGTTGACTCACAGATATTAAAAACATGTGATCGTGTGGATGAAGTAGGATCCAGAGTGGCCCTAAAAGCTCCATATTTAGATTGTCCTTGTTCTGCTTTTTATTAATTTTTTAAGATCCATGTACATTTGCAAACAGTGAACGGAAATCTTGGTCCGGATGTCTTTGCACGTATGCCAAAACCTCCGATAAATTAGACACTGCCCTCCAGGGGCACTTTAGGCAAACAATGGCTTCCCGCAGTGTGCCAAATAGGAATGTAACTATTCAAGGTAAAGTTATGCGTCACATCAGTCATTGTTTCATTTTATGCCCAATGTTCTGCAGTAAAAAGACAAAACAGTGCAGCTGCAGGGATTTTTACACGTTTTAACAGCAGTTGTTGGGATTAAAACAGGTACTGTTAAGGTCTCCAGAAAAGGTCACCAGCTCATA